TGAAACTAGACATTGAGACCATAAACTCATCAGGAAACTATTTACTGAGCTCATAAATCAAGTCAGGAGTTGGCTCATTTTCTTACAAGACTCAATACATCAGAATTAATAAGTAATATAATTCAGCATGGTTTTGGTGTCCCTGGGTCACATGAGATGGAAGATACTGAAAAACAAATCTAGTATTTCCCATATAAGTATTGAAATAAAATAAAAGAAACATTCTTCCTAAATATTAGTATAAATAAATAAGCAACTGTTTATACAAGTTCTTTACATCAACTTGAACAAAACACAAGATCATCATGTCAGTGTTGTGTTGTCTTGTTCCTGCTGCCCCCCAAGGTCCAAACAGCCAAAAAGATCAGATAGTTACTGCAGGTTTAAGGTTTCAAGCAAAAACGGCCTATATGTTGTTTAAAGCTTCTCAAATATCGTTAGCTGCAGCCTAGTAATTAAAGTTGCATAATTTGTACCATTACAATGGAGATAAATATTTGAATTAGTGAGAACTACTTTCAACAATGCTTTTTTGCTACGATCTGAAACTATCCTTAAACATTTAGCCCTGCCTGTGCAGAAAAGCTTTTCTCCACCTGTTATCTTTGTCACTTTGTTGGCTGTTAAAGCCTGCAGTGAAGAATAACCAAGTACACTGGTTTCCACACAAGCAAAAACAGTTCAATAAGAAGATCAGCTTCATCAGCAAGGATGTGAATGTTAAAGGCAGGAAAGGAATCGGCTCTCATGTCAGTTCCTGCTGCGGAGGATGAGATGAACCGGCTTATGAGCCAACTGAAAGAAAAACAAACAGCACAAGAGTAACTTCAAACAGATTTTTATAATTGTACAATTTATATAAAACGAAGGGTAGCTGACAAACAGCCCTCAGCACGTCGTACTGCATCAGGAACTGGTATGAAAATCATCAGACAGGTGACGATAGCGATTGTCAGGACTGGTGACGATCATCTGGTAGAATAATAATACTGGCAGACAGATTCAGCCTCTCAGCAGACTTCAGCTCAGGGACAGAAAGAGACTGCTTATTAACAACGTGTGCTTATTATCAGAGTGCTCTCCATTTCAATCCAACTGCAGCCAACAGGGTTCTCAGTCGGAGATAAATTCATTAATATACACACCTTTCAGATAACTCATAAAACTAGTTTTTAGGATGGAGACGTCCTCTGTGATGATTTTTTACGTGCTTTACGTCGACATTATATACAAAAGCAGTTCAAATTCATATCAGTACCTAAGCTAACACTCTCACACACACAACCAACTCAAAGGATAAGTCTGGAGACATTCTATCGTTGTCATATTGTGTACAAAGCCAATGAAAAGACCCAAACCAACAACATATTCCTCTGTGCCATAGAGCTCCACAGTCCAAAAACCATTAAACACACTGACATGTTCCTTCATTACCATCAACGCACTGTAGTTTATTTTAGAGCGATCCCACATTCACCGTCCTGCTGGCAGAGGGGGCCAAAGTACACACATTCTTTACTCAAGTAGAAGTACTGATACTTGCATAAAAAAGTAGAAGTACTGATTCTTTACTCAAGTAAAAGTGAGGTACAGGCTCTGAAATGTACTCGATGTGTTTGTGAGCTGTTTTTAAAGATCTGTGTCCTCATTAGGAATGAAAGGGCTCGGGGCTGAAGTCAGAAAGTGGAGACTAGCACGTTGTTGGTTTTGGTCTTCTCAACGGATTTGTTGACAAGACAAATCTAGAATATAAAACAGCGGAGTGAGACACCATTTCATTAAAAAAACATCTGCATAAAGGTCCCTCACACAGAGCAAAATCCTCTCAAACGTCGTCATTCAATGTACACAACCGCCCACATATTAAAGAATCAGTTCACTCAAATTGCAAAAACACTGTTGGTACCTAGTGGTAGCTGGTGGTGCAAATAGTTTGGGTTTAATTTGTCCAGGTTTTGAGAAGTCCACCTCTAAGACTTGTGTCTGCGAGTGTGAAGTGCGAGTGGAATATTGTTTGTGGAGCTAAAAGAGTTTTCCATCACTTCCACAGAATCCCTGCATGATTGGCCATCTGGAGCTGCGCAGGTGGTTTCAATGGGTCCCCGTTGGCTGTCCTGGTCTACAGAATGTGCAACCACGGACTACATGTAGGACTGAACATCGGCACAAACCCTGTGTTCATCACTGGCTACCTCTCAGTTCCCCTATTGTGGCTGTTCCTGCTGCTCCGTCCTAGAGTCAGTTAAAGATGGATCAGAACTCAACAATGTGTCTTCGCAGATCAACTTCCTGATTACACTGCTGACTCCAGAGTACAGATTCCACTAGAGCAGTAAAGGGGAAAAGCAAACCATAACAATAGTTAAAAAAACAAAACGGATTAACCTATTATCTATTTTTCCTTTCATAACTTAATTAAAAATGGCACCAAAACATTTCCATTAATTTTCATATTGTTGTCTGACATTTAGTTTTAATATCACAGAGGAATGAAATACCTATATGAAATACTGGAACCAGTTTGATTTTTTGCATTTTTGCTTAAAGCTGCAGTAGGTAACTTTATAATAATAACTTTCATATTATTATTGTCATATTTGGTGAAAGTTTCACTATATCCTGACAGTAGTATATGTGACAGTCTAATTCCCAGCATCTGTATTCGACACCCTGGGAATGAGACTCAATAATAGCTCTGATTGGTTGTTTTTGTTCCGATGATGCCTTTAGGAGCAGTAGGAGAAGCCAGAGGAACCTGA